ATTCTGGCGAAAATAAAAGTGCATTCGAGAAGTTTTACAGATGGCGCTTCATTAACGCGAATGATGTCGCCACACACCCCCTTCCCAGTGATAGCGTTATACCTCGTAATCTTTCAGGTATGCAGGAAATCTTACCCTTCGTCCAGCTTTTGTGTTTCTAGGATGAATATCTTGGGAAGAATCATTGTCTCCAGGAAGTGGAGGTGAGATTTTGGAGTTATCAGCTTCATGTGTCGGGTTCAGTCTATCTATCGATATCCTTTTAATTTTACCTGAAACTTCCACATCGAAAAATTTCTCAAAACGTTTTTTAACTACATATGGTCCGAGATAGGGTGGTTGAAGAGAAGATGAAATTATGTTATCATAGATGAATACGTGTGAACAATTTGCTAAGTCCTTGAGCACGAAAATTGGTTTTTTGTCATGGTTAGTTGTTGGTGTTGGTTTTAGGTTTTGGATGTGACTTTGCAATTTTTGTATAAAATCTGAATGCGTAACAGTGGGGACATAACTGAAAAATTCTACAGGCAAACAGATTGGTGAACCATACACAAGTTCAGCAGAAGAACAATGCAAATCCTCCTTAATGGCGGATCGAATGCCAAGAAGAATCAAAGGTAGCACATCAGTCGAAGAATTTGACTTTTGCAGGTGGGATTTTAGGCTGTTTTTCAAGGTTCGATGTTGCCGTTCTATTAAACCATTAGATTGTGGATGATAAGCCGTGGTGCTGTTAGCCTTGAAGGCCTAGGTATTTGCTCAGGGATCTGAAGAGTTGGCTGTCAAATTGTCGACCTTGCTCAGATGTTATCTTCTCTGGAATTCCAAATCTCGAAATCCATGTCGCGATGAGCGCATTTTCGACGGACTCTGCAGTTTGGTTATCCAAAGGTACAGCTTCGATCCACCGAGTGAATCTATCGATGATGGTAAGCAGGTACCTAAAACCTTTGCAAGATGGTAAAGGGCCAACGATATCGATATTAAGGTGCGTGAAACGTTGATTGGGAACTTTGAATTCAGCAGCTGGAGCATGGGTATGTTTGTGAATTTTGGCTCGTTGGCATTGCAAACATGCTCTAGACCACTGCTGACACTCTTTGTTTATGCCAGGCCAAATGAATCTTTTTGTCACCAGTTTAGTTGTTGCACGAATCCCAGGATGGGATAAGTTAAGTATAGAAAGAAATATTTGTTTGCGAAATTTTTTAGGAATGTATGGCCTGTTAAAATTAGTGGAGGTATTACAGTAAATTTTCTTATTGCTATCCGGAATAGGAATTAGTACTATTTTGAAACTGGAATTTGATTTGAGAATCCTGAGGTCTTCATCCTCCTGGCAATCTGCTATAACTGTATAATCAATTGGAGCTGGGATAGCGATGGTGTCGATTCTCGATAGCGTGTCAGCTACAATGTTTTCTTCTCCAGAAATGTAGCGTATGTCTGTAGTGAATTCAGCAATGTAGTTCAACTGTCGTACTTGTCTTGGAGAGGCTTTATCTAAATTCTGGTGGAAGGCGTAAGTGATAGGTTTATGATCAGTGAAGATAGTAAATGATCGTCCTTCCAGAATGTGTTTAAAATGCTTCACCGCTAGGTAGATTGCAAGTAGTTCTCGATCGTATGCGCTGTAATTTCTCTGTGTTGGTGATAGGGATCGGGAGAAAAAACTTAGCGGTTGTTTTTCATTATTAGATAGTTGATGAATCACAGCACCCACGGCAGAATCAGATGCATCTGTAGTTAGGGTGATCTGCGCCGTTTGATTGGGGTGAACTAACATTACAGAGTTGCACAGTGCGTTTTTGATATCAATGAAAGCCTTCTGCGCATCTTCGGTCCAAATTCGAGGTTTTTTGCTGTTTTTCTTTACTCCTTTAAGCAAGATTGTCAGAGGTTATTGTAGTTTGGCGCAGTTGGGAATGAAACGATGGTAAAAGTTTACCATGCCCAAAAATCTGCGCAAGCTTGTGAAGGATTCTGGCTTAGGATATTCTTTAATTGTATCGACTTTGGATGGAAGTGGCTTGATTCCTTCCGTTGATATTTCATATCCTAAAAATTCAACTTTACTCAAGCCAAATTTGAATTTTACAATGTTTATACACAGTCCATAGTTATTGAGTCTTTGGAAGATTAATTCAAGGTGTTTTTTGTGTGTTTCAGCATCTGGAGAGGCGATGAGAATGTCGTCGAGATAGCAAAATACAAAGTCTAGGCCACTAAGCACTGTGTTCATACACCTTTGGAAGGTTTATGCAGCATTTCATAATCCAAATGTCATGTAAGGAAATTCAAAAAGTCCGAAAGGTGTTATGATTGCTGTCTTCGGAATATCAGCTGCATGAACAGGAATCTGTTGGTATGCTCTTATTAAATCTATGGTTAAAAAAATCGTTTTTCCGTGCAGAATGTGAGTACAGTCAGTTAGAAATGGTAGTGGGTAACGGTCTGGTACAGTATTTGCTTTAAGGCCATGGTAATCGCCACATGGTCTCCAGTCACCGGATTTTTTTAAGGTGAGGTGTAATGGACTTGACCAGCTGCTTTTCGATGGTCTGCAGAGACCTTCTTGCAACATATAATCAAATTCCTTTTTCGCGGCAATCAACTTTTCTTGTGAAAGTTTTCTGACTTTAGAGGATACAGGGTTACCTTTGGTTTTGATGTAATGTTGCACATCATGTTCTTTAATTTTACTGTTTTTTATGTTGGGTTTAAGTAAGTCAGGAAATTTGTTTAGGATGGCTCTATATGGGTTTTGAAAAGTGTTAGCAATGAATTTAGGAGTGACGCTATTGTTACACAAAGTACCTTTAGCCGTTAATGAGGTCGTGCCATCGATTAATTTCCTGTTTTTACTATCGACTAACAAATTAAAATGTGAAAGAAAGTCTATTCCCACGATCGGTTTATTAACGTCCGCAATGATAAAAGGCCATTTGAAAGTTCTGCATAGCCCTAAATCGAGCTCCAATAATTTTTGACCGTATGTTTTGATTGTTGTACCGTTAGCTGTGAATAACTCAAGCTTAGACACAGTTCTTTTTCCGATGGTGATGGTGGGATAACCGATATTTCTGCTCCAGTGTCAATTAAAAAATGGGTTGCTGATGCGTTGTCACGAATACAGTCAAAAGTCGTTAATTCGGACACCCATAATCCTTTACATTTTACATAATACATTTTTAATGGCCGGATATTTGCCGTTGTCTGGTGGTTTGGTGAGAATATCAGAGATATGTGACAATGTCCCTGTTTCAATAGAACTGACCACGTAATCGTATTTTGTTTGATCAGCCGTAATTCCAGCGTTTCGGAATTGGGCTTCAATCTGAAGAAACCATATTTTGGGGTCAGGTTTCCTAAAAGGAGGAATTTTGATGCTGACCTTGGCAACAGTCGCAGATGTTGCATTAGTTTCGGCTTGTTTACTTTCGTCTCCTTCAGCCATAGCAGAATTAGGCTTAATGGAAATACAGATACCATTATTTAATTTTATATTTTTATAGCTTTTCCGGCTAAAGTTTGCTTAGTAAAAACTAGTTCATTTATTCTTAACACATTTGATGCATTCTGAAAATTCTAACTGCATTCATTACGGCTGAAGTTATATTGCAATATAGAACAAATTTTCAATTTTTAAAGTTGACTTACCATTTTAGAAGTATTTCAGTCCCACGTACGCTCGGAATTTACATTTCACAGACGCACTAAAACAATCGATTCATCAATTCTTGATGTAATCCATGCGCACCAGAAGCACTTCGAAATCGAAACTATCACTCAGTCCACTGTCAAACTCAGGAAAAAATTGCGGAACTTTAAAAATGGGTAAGTAGCTTCTTACGACACTGTCCGAAGCATTTATTCGGTAACAGGTGACAATTTATAAAGTGCTTATAATGTCAGTGACATCTCGTAAAATTACAGAAACATCATACGTTCTTTTTTCATCAGACACTTTATAAGTTGAATTCAATCACGTCCGGGTCACCAGTGTGGATGTCTTGAACATAGGAAATGTTAAACATTGCTCTTACTCCAATAAGATTAATATTTATTTACATTTTTTACATATAGAATCACACAGACAAAAAACAGTCATCGTTCTTTTTTCTTCTCTCTTGCTTTATGTTGCCATTCTGGCGAAAAGAAAAGTGCATGCGAGAAGTTTCACAGATGGCGCTTCATTAACGCGAATGATGTCGCCACATTCCCTGCTAAAAGTGTTCTTGTGCCCAGATATTTTATTGAAACTCAATCTCTTTACTTTAATTTCGGTTACTATTATATCATATCATTTAAAGCTATTAATTTATCTCATGTTTCTCCTCAGAGGCAGTGTCTCTGGAAATCTAACTCGCCTAACAAGTTCCTCGCTCTCATCCCTCTCCAGACCCAAATCACGTGCGACGTGAATGACCTTTCGCGATTAGTTCCTTTCTCGTATTGTTAACACCACAAGATCATTGATAAAGGAAATATCGAATTTTTCAAAATTCAGGATGCAACGCTTCAAAATTGATTCTGTCCCTTTATTCACTCTCAGAATTACTAAATAAATTAAGTCCATCAGTGTTTTCTGCCTTTTTTACCGTGGAAGGCAGTTTAACTTTTGTTATTTTGACAATTCAACAATTTTCTTTGCAGAACCCTCTTTTTGATGATTTAATCTTTGATGATGTGGGGATAAATGCATTAAGCCTATGAACCTCGTAAATGAACTCTTCCTTGATCCTAACTCTTTTTGTTTATTTGAAATTGTTGAAAATTCCTTTTTCAGTTCATTGTGAAACAAAGTTTTTACATATTTTTTAAAAAATTGCGTCTCATTTTCGGATCTTTTAGCCCTTTTGGTGGCTGCGAGCAAAGACTATTGCTTTGCGTAGTTTGTGCTTCATTTATCCAGTACTCATACATGTCATAGTCTAGTGATTGTATAGGTGTGGTAATTTAAAACCGTCAGACATAAGTTAGCCGTACGAAAGAGACGCCGATCACTGCCTTATGGTAACTAGGTATTAGAAGTGAAATAATCTACAAATGTATTGTATGGATGCGTTAGCGCATGCGCGCAATAAGTTCACTAGCCATATCCTTGCAATTGATCATAATATTTAGTTTAAAGAGCTGTAGTGTCATCTGTCAAACAAAATGTGCATTACGGATTTATGCTTCTGTAGCTGACAAAAGTATGTTCTAAAAATGAATAATCGCGGTCATGTACAGCAGCCGTATTATAGTAATTCTCTTGCAATTCGTCAAGAAATCCAAAGATTTGAAAGTGTGCATCCAAGCATCTATGCTATTTACGATCATTTGGAACTTATGCCTGATCCTCTTCTTGCTCAACAAATTCGAGAACACGTTGTTTGTATTGAAGGTATGTTTTGAGTCTTCTTAATAATAGAATGATTATTGGTTATTCAACATATAGTATTTATCTGGGTCATCCTGAAGTGTCAAGCGTCCGCCTTGCTTTCGGAATTTAAATGTTTGTTTCTCGCACGAGTGGACAATTTCCTTACAGGATTTCTGTAGTTTGATGAAATTTCAGGTGCATTATCCTCGATTACAATTTCCTTGGAATAGAACATTTGCAGAAATTCTTAAAAGCTCTGAAACCTAAAAGTTTTTTGGTTAACTTATTAGAAACCTGCTGTGTTTGTATGGTGAGACCCCCCTAAAAATATAAGCATCTTTCCTTCACTAATCTTATAAGAGTATATTACTAGAGTATTCACGTTTATAAAATTTTATTTTTACCTTTTGCACCAATGAAAAGCTTTTTACATGTGTTTTTGGCTTGTATAGAAATGTATATTCTCGTTCGTTTTCTTTTGACTTGACTTGAACGTAAAATTTGCAGAACATAGCCAACAACCACAGCAACAAAAAAAGGGGGGGGAGTTGAATTATGTACGGAAATTTTATGAGTTTTTTATATATATATATTACATTTTATTTAAAGGGAATGAACCCTATGGGATACATAAGATGGATTCTTATCCAGTACTTTTTGCTGAGATAGATTGTAATTTTCATTGGATTCACAGGTGAGCTGCAAGGTAGAATGACATTTGACATGGAGCTATGATAGATTTCATAGACTTATACTGCTATTTTGCACCATTGGATTCACAGGTGAGCTGCAAGGTAGAATGACATTTGACATGGAGCTATGATAGATTTCATAGACTGCTATTTTGCACTAACAATGAAGGTGCTGTGTTATCAGTCTTTTTTTTTATTTACTTTGATTTAGATAGCATCTTATTGTCCTTACATTGAATTTAAAATCCTCACATTGAATACAATTGAAAATTTATAAAGGCTGGAAACTATCATTTTTGCATACTATCACCACTACTAGTTTGCTATCTGATTTTCTTATGTTTATTCATTCTTATAATTCCTGGCTAATTTCAGAATTTCTTATTTTGTCTTAATTTTGATTGACATTTTTTAAGTAGAGTCTGTTTTATAATAGAAAACAGACTGCTGAGCAATTTAGATGCTTTTTTTCACAGCTTCTGTATACAGCTATTTTTCCATACAGTTTTGTTGCATTTGAAGTAAAAATATTTTTTTTATCTGTTTAGTAGATCTGCTTGAGAGGATAACTATCTCCTCTTTGTTGTATCAGAAATGCTTATCAATAAGGAAGATGTGGTAGTCTAATGGCATAGCATCTGGGCTGGTGCAGGGAATGTTACCTTTGTTAATAGCAGAATGTTTTAGTTAGATGTTTCGTTTAAGCAGTAGTATGAGAATCTGCATTGTTACAAAGTAACAGAATCTGGCAGAGAGTATGGTATAGATTTTAATCTGGATTACATAACAAGAGTTTCTTCAAAGCATGGCAATAGGCACCAGTGTTTATTGCCCTTTTGATGTTAAGTCTACTTGTGAAACACTGCATCTTTACCAGAAAATAGTTTCTATAATTTTGGTTGTGATAACATAGAGTTTTGGTAAAAGTATATTTTAGGGTACCCCTTGGCGAAACTTTGCGATTTTTGGCAGTACATGGATACCGAGGTTGTACAATGCTTTGACTTGTTATTTTGGCCTGCGTAGTGCGATTTTTGGCGCAAAAATTGCCATTACGCATTTGTACAATTCTTTGACTTGTTACGTTAAAAAAATAAGGTCAAAGAATTGCACAAACTCGGTATCCATGTACATATTGACCTATTTTCACTTTAAAAAAAATCCCCGAATTGTACAAACTATGCTTTACGCACTCCCTTGAGTTTGTCCATGTACGCATTGATATATTTTCACCTAAAAAGTAAAAGGATTTGAACTGCAATTAATTATTTGAACTACAATCCGTACATCGGCATCGCCACAGAAATTCACAAAAATAAGAGATATACTACGTAGTTCCAGACTATGGCTACTAAGTAAATTTTCATTTACACAATTAGTTCACTCGATTAATGCACTTTTGCCCTTTCGTTCCAAATTGTACTGAAACTTCAAATTAATCCTACTACATTCAGCCATTGTACCGTCTAAACAATGAAACAAGCAACGTACTTCCTAAGCAACACACACCACAAAAGCCCTTGCAAAACATCCTATGATTCAAAATTTCCCAGAATAATGCGAACGATTATGTCATAATAGGGTTTCCATAACATTCAACTACTCTAGTTACCATAAATGATACAACTTGGCAGTAAACGAAACAATAACTTGGTGATAAATGAACCAACTTCACGATAATACAAGGGGTACCTTAAAGTCAACAGTAACCAGAGTTTTTAAAATTTTATTTTAATGGATTTGCCTCTTTGAATATGGCAAAGCACATGAGAATTAGCCTAAGAGGAGGGATCCCTTTATGGAGTACTTTCTGAGGGAAACTGGCTCATTACACATGGGAAAAACCATGAAAACCAGCCAGCCTGTTGGCCTGGTTTCAAACTTGGGTTCGAATTACCAATATTCAGCGGTCTTAACTACTCTACTTTCATGGGAGATAATGTGTTACTATAGCTATTGATGCTTGGATTCAGGGGTTACATGAAATGTCTGTGACTTGGCTCTCATTATGATGCGTCCAACAATTCATCGGCTTACTTTGTCAGTTTAAAAATAACAAAACGGTTGATCTTTACATTATGGTAACTTGGCGTTTTTTTGGCGAAAATTTGGCGACCAACTCTCCTACAGCAACCCTCTATTTTTTTTCCCCGCCGCCATTTTGTCTTCACGAAGTAAAGACATGTTTCTTTTCTTTTTATCTACTGAACACTTCTTCCAACAATCTAGTAGCCGAATTACACTTATGCTAGAAATTTTATCAAACAAAACTGCTTAATCATGACAAATATTCACTGCAAAATTGGGGGAAAGTGCACAATACCATACTCCTTACGCGTTTTTCAAAATAACACATACACATAAACCATGTACACGGCGACTTATTTTTACTTAAAAAAACATCCCAGAATTGCACAAAAATGGCATTGCGCACACTCTTCACTATATCCATGTACACTGCTTTTTTCTCATAAATTAGAAAAATTTCACGAAAATACATGACAATTTTCTCAATCTTTAAACCCGGTAAAAAGAACATATATGAAATTACTGATCGCGAAAAAGTATTTACCCTTTACAAATATGAACATTTCCACATATAAAATAAATAAAATATCCAAAAACTTTTACCTCTAAATCATCTATTACATTATACACGTCACCAACGAATTCATACTGCAAGCATTACAAATACTTAATATCAAATATTTAAATTATTTCCATGCACGTTTATTTCAACTTAAACGTATACCAAATTCCTACAAACATAAAATTCACAAAATAACTATCATTTCATTAAAATATAATTAAATTCAAAAACACTACTTAAAATATAGATGAGCACATACATTAAATTAATAAAAAATTACCTTACAATCCTAATTACTTTAAACTAAATCATTGCTAATAACAATTTTCCCAATAATACAAAATTCCTTTCCACCTTACATTTAGAACAATGCATAAAAATAATATCCTCAAATAATTAAAAATACTAACTTACCTAATCTTCTTCAGAATCTTGATTACGTGTCCGATAAAACTATTCTTTAGTTACGGCCATGGGATCCAAAAATTCACGAACACTGTTTTCACACAACACAGAATAAACCAAATACAAAATTTCCAGATTTTTTCCCGATTTCCCCCCTTTTCCGATTCAAGAACCTGTAATTCGTCCATTAATATCACATGACATATCCCATGATCTCTCATTTCCCTCACACAAAATAATGCGTAATCGGAACTGAGTACTGCTCACATTATTACCAAAGTCCCAGGTAGTAACCTTTATCGCCTCCAAGATGTCGCCAAACTACCAGTTACCATATTGTAAAGATCAACCAACAAAACTTTGGCTAATTCATTTTCAGTACACACTAGGACCACAGCTTTCTGTCTCCCAAGTTTTTATATACAGTTCTGTAAAATGATAGCATGGAAATGACAAATTTTTCTTTCTGGAATATTAGTATCTAATACATATACCAGAATATTGGTGATTACATGCAGCTTGTGGTGATGGCGATAAGGAGCGCGCCTTGCACCCTCCGATTAATATGGCAACCCTAGAGGAGAAGTTTCTTACGAGTAGCAAGCAGAGAGCGAAACAGGCCCGCTGTCGGGAAGTGTGCGCAAAGTTCTGAAATAAAGCTTAATTTTTATTGTGCACTATGTCTAGTTAATATTTATATTAATGCAGTAAGAACATAATCTGTGATATGGAATGCGAGGATTGGTGGTAAAACCATATAGGTAACAACGTGATAGGAACCACCATAACGGTGACCCGGACTGTGTTAAATCAGGCCGTATGAACAGTTCTCAAGCACTTTCGGTTTTGACTACAAGCCATCACTCAAGATCTCCAAACCAGTCCGAATCACAGATGAGTAGTAATTATAGATCATTTTATACTTCTGTTTTCTACTTATCATTTAATTTCATTTTCTTTAGTTAAATTTTTGCTTTTATTTTGGCTTAAAAATCTTGCACAATGTGTGATGTTCATGCCGTCCAAATTCCGGTTTATAACTGATCAGACCCATCTTTATGGTTTATTATGTGTGAAGTACCTTTGCTCTTGCCACCCCCAAACCTATCACAGAATCCATTACTAAATATGATTATGTAGTTGCTCATCTTCCAACAGATATTGCATCACTAGTGCGGGATTTACTTATGAAACCAGACCCTATTGATCCATATACAGAGCTCAAAACTGAGTTAATAAATCGATCAGGACAATCTTCACAGCAAGAAATTCACCAATTATTATCTGGAGAGGAATTAGGTTCTCGAAAACCTTCCGATTTGCTTAGAAATATG